GTTCACAATATGTCACTGTGGCATAAAAATTATACTGAGACAAAAGTACGAGAGTAGACTTTGTTGCTGAGCCCCGTTATTTCTGTAACAGCAGACCACCCCCAAAGAACTCAATTGTTAAGTCCTCTCTTAGAGAGAGAGTTTCACAGCCAGGAAAGTCAAAACTATCATATCTTCCATCTGTTCTCCAAAGCGCTCACTCATCTTCCCTAAAAGCCATTTGTTTTCCAGTAAGTGCCCGTTCTCCCTCTCCTCCTTCCCTATTAAGATAGGATATAAGTCCCAAATCCTAACAGCTTCCTTGATTAATATTTTTCTGTGAACTCAAAATCTGTGCTCTTGCTCATCTGGTATTGCAGTACTTGGATGCAATCTCAAAACCGACAGAATGATCTTGGTTCGCTTCCAAGGCACACCATTCAATATCATAATAATCCAAGTCTATGTCCCAACCACTAATGCTGAAGAAGCTGAAGCTGAATGGTTCTATGAAGACCTACAAGAACTTCTAGAAGTAATACCAAAAAATGATATCCTTTTCATCACCGGGGACTGGACTGCAAAAGTAGGAAGTCAAGAGATACCTGGAGAGGCAAGTTTGGCCTTGGAGTACAAAATGAAGTAGGGCATAGGCTAACAAGAGTTTTGCCAAGAGAACGCATTGGTCATAGCAAACACCCTCTTCCAAGAACACAACAGTCGACTCTACACATGGACATCACCAAATGGTCAATACTGAAATCAGATTGATTCTTTGCAGCTAAAGATGGAGAAGCTCTATACAGTCAGGAAAAACAAGACCGGGAGCTGACTGTGGCTCAGATCACGAGCTCCTTATTGCCAAATTCAGACTTAAATTGAAGAAAGTAGGGAAAACCACCAGACTATTCAGGTATGACCTAAATCTAATCCTTTACAATTGATCATACAGTGGAAGTGACAAATAGATTCAAGGGACTAGATCTGATAGACAGAGTGCCTGAAGAATTATGGACAGAGGTTCGTAACACTGCTCAGGAGATGGTGATCAAAACCATCCCAAAGAAAAAGAAATGCAAAAAGGCAAAATGGTTGTCTGAGGAGGGCTTAAAAATAGCCAAGAAAAGAAGAGACGTGAAAGGCAAAGGAGAAAAGGAAAGATATCCATCTGAACGCAGAGTTCTAAAGAATAGCAAATAGAGATAAGAAAGCCTTTCCAAGTGAACAATGCAAATAAATAGAGGGAAACAATAGAACGGGAAAGACTAGAGATCGCTTCAAGAAAATTAAAGATACCAAGGGAACATTTCATGCAAAGATGGGCTCAGAAAAGGACAGAAACAGTAATGGACTTAGAAGCAGAAGATATGAAGAAGAGGCGGCAAGATACACAGGACTACACAAAAAGATCTGAATGACCCAGATAACCACGGTGGTGTGCTCATTCACTTCAGCTAGACATCCTGGAATGTGAAGTCAGGTGGGCCTTAGAAAGAAGCATCACTACAAACAAAGCTAGTGAGGGTGATGAAATTCCAGCTGTTTCAAATGATAAAAGATGATGCTGTTAAAGTGCTTCATTCAATATGACAAAAATCTGGAAAACTCAGCAGTGGCCACAGGACTGGAAAAGGACAGACTTTATTTTTGGGGGCTCCAAGATCACTGCAGATGGTGACTGCAGCCATGAAATTAAAAGACGCTTTTGCCTTGGAAGAAAAGTTATGAGCAACCTAGACAGCATATTAAAAAGCAGAGACACTACCTTGCAGACAAAGGTCCATCTAGTCAAAGCTATGGTTTTTCCAGTAGTCATGTGTGGATGTGAGAGATGGACTATAAAGAAAGCTGAGCACTGAAACATTGACGGTTTTGAACTGTGGTGTTGGAGAAGATTTGGACTGCAAGGAGATCCAACCAGTCCATCCTAAAGGAAATCAGTCCTGAACATTCACTGGAAGGACTGATGCTGAAGCTCTAATACTTTGGCCACCTGATGCAAAAAACTGACTCATTACAAAAGACCCTGATGCTAGGAAAGATAGAAGGCGAGAGGAGAAGGGGACGACAGAGGATGAGATGGTTGGATGGCATCACTGACTCAATGGAAATGAGTTTGGGTAAACTCCAGAAGATGGTGATGGACAGGGAGGCCTAGCGTGCTGCAGTCCATGGGGTGGCAAAGAGTATGACACAACTGAGCGACTGAACTGAACTGAACCAAGAACTTCCAGATGTTTAAGCTCGATTTAGAAAAGGTAGAGGAACCAGAGATGAAATTGCCAATATCCGTTGGATCATAGAAAAAACAATTTCAGATAAACATTTACTTCTGCTTCACTGACTACACTAAAGCCTTTGACGGTGTGGATCACAACAAACTGTGGAAAATTCTGAAAGAGATGGGAATATCAGAGCACCTTATTTACCTCCTGCGAAACCTGTGTGCAGGTCAAGAAGCATCAGATAGAACCAGAAATGGAACAGAGTGGTTCAAAATTGGCAAAAGAATATGTCTTCCTTTCCTAAGGCTGTATATTGTCACCTTGCTTATTTAACTTANAACTCATTGGAAAAGACCCTGATAGTGGGAAAGATTGAAGGCAGGAGAAGGGGACGACAGAGGACAAGATGGTTGGATGGTATTACCGACTCAATGGACATGAGTTTGAGCAAGCTCTGGGAAATGGTGAAAGACAGAGAAGCCCGGAGTACTATAGTCCATGGGGTTGCAAAGAGTTGGACACGACGGACAGACTGAATGACAACAACAAACAGTGAACCTAAAAGAAGACAAGTTTTTCTTCCCTTACAAAGTTAACTACTTAATACTCTATTTTCAGATTTAAAAACTGGGCTTGTCATATCTGAAGTGACAGCAATGGAATTTGGACAAATGACCTCTCTTTTTCCAGTCTATACCCAATTATTGCACCATTTTCCTTTCTGACTCACTCCTCCCAGACATTTATAAAATCTTTAAATGCTCTTCTGGCAGCATCATTCAAGAACTGACACGGACTACTATTTTACAGTCATAGCAAATTCAAGTTTAACAGGTATGTGTCAAGTATTTCAGATCAAAGTAAAAATCCTTAACCCACAATAAGGAAAATACAATGGAGCCAAAGAAAGAACACCAGCTATTAACACTGTTCATCTGAAAAGAAGGAAGGATAAAGATCAAAGATGGTAATTTTTGCCTTTGTATTTCCCTGTATCATTTTGTTTCACTTGTTCTAATATTATGTGTTCCATTTATAAGGAGAAAAACATCAAATAAAGAAAAGCACTTTACAAATTTGTACCCTGGTACTTTAAATATCTTTCTGGAAAACTATCCTCAAGAACACTAACCCCCAAATAAATAGAAAAGATTGCCCTGTCACTAAGAAATTACTCCAGAAAAGAAGCATTTATGCCTACACAGACACATATACAAACACACACAGTCTCACACACTCACATGCTCCTAAAATCCCCCTTCTCCCCCACACCTAAGGATGTGGCCTCACCTGTGACTGGGGAGAGTTGGATATTTGTAGACATTTCTTTAAATGAAAGAAAGTAAATATGTAGATCTTGATGATCAACAACACTCTGACTAAAACAGAGAGATGGGAAAGCAAGAATTGAGCTTTTCCATGTCATTATAGATGTTTCCATACTTGAAAAAACCCTGGGGTCAGGCAAAGCTCTGCTGAAATACTACAGCTGATTCTGCCCTTTGCAGCCACCTTTATTAGAAACTTCTAAGCCACTACCTCCATGTATTAAAAATACTGTGGGTCTCAAACTTAAGCATGTATCAGAATCACCTGGTGGGCTTGTTAAAGCAGACTGCTAGGCTCCCAATGACCTAAAAATTATGTACCTAAAATCATTCCACTAAAAGTGATATTACAGAGAAAACAACAACTAAAACACAAGTCTTCCTAAACAAAGGATGAAAATGATCCAAGTTTTCTAACTGTTCAGCCTACAAGTAAATGGAAAAGACTGCCCTATTACTGACAAAATATTACCAGAAAAGAAGCATTTATACTTATACACACACACACTCCTCTTTAGCTTCTAAAATCTAAAAAGCATACAGTAAATGTGGTTTAAATATTTTAAATCTCAGTTAATTATCCAATAAAAAATTAAATCAGCATCACATATGTCACATGTTAACTCCAGTTAATCTAATTATTAAGAAGGCAAAGAATCTATCATTTACTAAGAACAATGTAAGCACATATTCTTTACCAACTGAGCTATTCAATCTCCTTGCAGTTCCTTGGACTGCAAGGAGATCGAACCAGTCAATCCTAAAGGAAATCAGTCCTGAGTATTCATTGGAAGAATTGATGCTGAAGCTCTGATACATTGGCCAACTGATGCGAAAAACTGACTCATTTGAAAAGACCCTGATGCCGGGATAGACTGAAGGCGGGAGGAGAAGGGGACGACAGAGGATGAAATGGTAGGATGGCATCACCAACTTGATGGACATGAGCTTGAGTAAGCTCTGGGAGTTGGTGATGGACAGGGAAGCCTGGCGTGCTGCCGTCCATGGGGTTGCAAGGAGTCGGACACAACTGAGCGACTGAACTGAAGTGAAGCATGTATTCCTTGCATGATCATGTTTAATAGGAAATTCAGTGTAGAAAAATTTCACAGTATTAGTATGCAGAGTCATAGTTAACTTTTCAGTATATAATGACTACTAGAGATATAGTCACTCTAACCTCCTCCCCCAAAGACCTTCCATACATGGAAATAAATAAGAAAAGCTGACATCTCTTATTTTCCATATTTACCTCTATACCCTGTCCCTTTTCAATGACTATAACTTTCCTTCTTTCTTGGAATTAAAACTCAGCTTCCAAATGTGAAATCTTTTATTTATGAAATTTCCTTTAAACAGGGCACTCATGCCCAATATTCACTTCCTTTGTTAACCTTTCTTAATTTTTATCCATGAAATGATTTTTATTAAGAAAACAAATTTTAAAACCTTTTCTCATCAATCATTCTTACATCCACTGTTTCAAAAGTGCCCTGCAAGTGCTACAATTCAACACTAATAAGAGAAATCTGGAGACGTTTTCTGATGTGCTTTTGCTTTTCAAAATTATTTTGGTGCCTGTTTTAAAGAGTATACTGCATACCTGATCCATATCTAAAGTTGTTTCTATCATTTCCTGAAACTTGGAGAAGTCAGAACGAAGGTCAATAAGAGGAGTCACAAAAACTGCCAGCAACAATGCCTGATGTTTTCCTAAAAGAAAAAAGAAAAGTAAATTAGTAGGTCCTATTTTTAAAAATACAAAACTACAAACCATAAAAATCTGATTATGATAATGAGCAGCATTTGATCCCCAAAAGCACAAACTGTGCAGCAGCTCTCAAGTTACTACTTAGTAGGATACCTTAATCCAAACATGTTTAGGACTTATATGGAAAGGGAGATGGTCTGGCATTCAAAACTCCCTATGAATAAAACACTGCCTCCCTCACAAGTCTGTGAGTGAGTGAGTCAAAGTCACTCAGTCGTGTCCGACTCTTTGTGACCCCATGGACTACAGAGTCCATGGGATTCTCCAGGCCAGAATACTGGAGTGGGTAGCCTTTCCCTTCTCCAGGGGATCTTCCCAACCCAGGGATCGAACCCAGGTCTCCTGCACTGGAGGCGGATTCTTTACCATCTGAACCATTAAGGGAAGCCCCCACACATCTGTGATCTCCTTCATAAGTGGTACTATATACAGAAACGTGACATTAATTACAACCAAAGGAACTGTGTTTCCTGGCAGATTTAATAATCCCAAGCCAAAGTTATTAAAATAAAATATCTCTAACTTACCTTATAAATCCTTAATTTCCATTAGTAATACAGTGTTCCAGTTGACACAGGCTAAATCAAGTCATGCATTTACACTGGAACTTTGCTTGATGTTGTTTAAGAGCACATGTTGGGGGATCATGTGAGGAGGAGTAAGTGAAGCGACAGAATCTACAGCTTGAAAGGCCTGAGTAGAGACCTGGGAGCCAATCCCTGCTCTCATACTTACTGGCTCTGTGATCTGAAGCAGCCTTTTCCTTGTCTATTGCAAAGGAAGTAGTAACAACAGCTACCCAGAAGATGAAAGAGTAAGACAACTATACACAACACTTAGTATATATAGTACTTGAGACTTAATAGAAGCTCAGCAATGGTTATCATGTATTATTATTGGTTGTAACACAGAATTTTTTTTTTCTAATGTCCAATAAATTCCCTTAGAAGAACTCTGCAAGGGATCTCTAGCATACTGCATTTTACTCCAAAGCAGTAGTTACCAGCCTTTACAGAAGTAGGGGAAGCTCTTGGGAAGATGATGAAAAAGCTATGATGGCAGTCAAACAATTATGAGAATTCATTTATTATTATTAATCACAACAGTCTCTAGACATATTTAGAAAATAGTACATATGTGTGAAACATTATTTAGACAGTCTATAAACAACACTTTGCCCACATAATGTCTGCTGTGCTACAATGTCTGGTTCCTTATTCTGAATTAGCTCACATGCGATTGGTTAAAGGGGAATGAGGGCAGCAAACCATGGTGGTGGCACGGATTCACAAATGATGTCTCCTCCAGACCACTAATGTTTTGAAGTGATCAAGGCAAGCTTTCCCACAATTAAAGAGCAAGCTTGGCAACACATAACGACCTCAGAGTAGCTGGCTTAACCATTATACTTTCCACTATGTTAAGATATGTAGAAAGGCTGAATATAGATGAAGAGTACAAAAACATCCGCCGGTGTTTAAAAAAAGTTTTTTTTCTAACTGAAGTGTAGATTCCCTGGTACAGATTTTTAACTTTGTTGAATCTGACCTTTATTTGAGGTAAACACGCCCCTGCAGGGCATCTCGAAGGAGGAAAAGAAGAGTCCCAGACTTAAAAGCTTCAAGTCACTTGATGCTGATACTGGGTACAAATGCAATGGAGATTTTTGTAGGCTACAATTTTTGTTTTAATTAGTTTTTATTGGAGTATAGTTGTTTTACAATAGGCTTCCATTTTTATTAAAGTTTGTTAACGCTTTTGTTAGCAATCATTTAAAATTTTTCATATATTTTGAGGTCTACCTTATCACTATTTTTTCTGTTAAGTTCTTTTCTACCATATGACTTTGAAGAAGGTTAAGGTTTCCCGAGAAAACACAAGTAGTATCACTGTAGCAACACCTGTACAGACTTCAGAATACATCCTCTAGTCCCTTCACACACAGGCCCACTTGCTGCAGCTCTTCTCAGAGTTAATGTCCCTTCTCCGCGTGCTTGCTCCCTATCCTGCAAGCCTTAACCAGCATCTTTTTAAATAAATTAATTGATATCAGAGTCTAACTGCTTTACAATGTTAAGTTGGTTTCTGTTGTACAGCAAAACGAATCAGTTAGACACATATATGTACCCCTCTGTTTTGGATTTCCTCCCCATTGAGCTCATCCCAGAGCACTGAGAAGAGTTCCCTGTGCTGTATAATAGATTCTCGTGAGTTATCTGCTTTAAGTACAGTTGTGTATATGTGTCAATCCCAGCCTACCAGCTCCTCCCGCCCTGCCCTGCTCCTCCTTGCTAAGCTTGTCTTCTACGTTTGTGACTCTACTTCTGCTCTGCCGTTAAGTTCACCAGTGCCACTTTTCCAGATTTCACATGTAAGTGATATTATACAATATTTTTCTTTCTCTTTCTGACTTACTTCACTCTATATGACAGTCTCTAGGTCCATCTATATCACTGCAAATGGCATTATTTTATTCCTTTTCATGGCTGAGTAATACTCCACCATGTCTAAGTACCACATCTTCTTCTCCATCGGTTTTTCTATCTATTGGCTGCACCACGTGGCTAGGGAGATATTAGTTCCCTGACCAGGGATCAAACCTGGGCCCTCGGCAGTAAAAAGCTCAGAGTCCTAACCACTGGACTGCCAAGGAATTCCCTAGCATCTTGAATTCCTTTCCCTACTTGTAATTTGTACTGAGCCCTAGTTGTCAATTTCAGCTGGTTCTCCGCCCCCGCAACTGGTTATGGTTTCAATTAAAAGATAACAGCTCTATTGAGATATGATTCATATACCAAACAATTCTTCATTTTAAAGTATACAATTCAATGGTTTTCAGTATATTCACAGATCTATGCAATCACCACCACAGTCAATTTTCAAACTGTCACTGCTCTCAAAAGAAACAAGGAACCCTGTAACCATCAGCAATAACTGAAAATTTTCCTACAACCCCCTGCCATGCCTTCATGCCTAGGCAACCACTACTCCACTCTATGGATTTGCTTCTTCTGGTCTTTTCATATAAATGGATATTACACTGTGACTGCCTTTTTTCACTTAGCATAATGCTTTCAAGTTTCATCCATGTTGTATCATGCATCAGTACTTCATTCCTTTTGACTGAGAAACAATATTCCATTGTATGGATATGCCACATTTTATTTATTCATTCATCAACTGATGGGCACCATTGAGTTTTTTGATATACTCCATTTTCTTTCTTTCTTTTTTTTGATATACTCCATTTTCAACTAGCTCACAATCTGAAAAGCTCTACATGATCTATTCTGGGTCTTAAACAAAGGTCCACAGATCCTTGAATTCAAGGTAGTACATAAACAAAGAGAAATTAATCTCATCTTTATTTTCTATAACCTCTAACTGGAATCGAGCATTTTCTTCCAATGTTAATGTAAGTAATGAATCACAGTAGTATTATCAGTACCTTCCAATGTTAATATAAGTAATAAATCACATAGTATTATTGTCTTTGTAATCAACTAAAATTCCAAACATTTTCATATCACAGTTTTTGGAAATAATGAGATAGTTTTAAGTAACATTTAAACTCATTAGTTCAAAGTTAAAATAGAACTTCACCCAACCACGTTTTTTAATACATTAATAAAAAGCACATATTTCTCAAGAATATTTTATATTTTGATAAGTGTGTTTCAATATATGTGGCTTCCTATTTAACTCTATGTGTTTGATTTTATGCATTTAAAAACATTATTCTGAGAAGTGGTTCACAGGCTTTATTGGAAGTCAAAAGGATCCAAGCATAAAAAAATGTTAAGAACCTCAGAAAGGCCTCACCTCCTAACAGTGCCCTTATTCTCCATCTCTATGGCTGACAACCCTAGCTTCTCTTCACTCCTTCAGCAAGTCAAGCTGTAGGCACTTATACTAGCTACCTCCTCCAGTCCCCCCTATATCTTAACAGTTGGCTCTCTGTCATCATTTGAGATTTACCTGAGACAGCAATTCCATGGAGAGGCCATCTTCAACCACCATATCTAGCATCTTCCTGGTCTAGCCAAGTTATTCTATCACATGAAAATATTATGCTTTCTTTGTTGCACTTATTACTGTTTGAAGTTCTTGCCCATTTATTTGTCTGTCTTCACTCTTCCACAATTACAGAACCTCCATAGAGACTTTATCTGTCATGTCTGCCGCTGTGCTTCCCAGAACATGCCCAGCACGAAGCAGGCAACTGACAACCGTCTGCTCAATGAATGACTTTATGAAGGAAGCAAAGGACTGATGAAGCAGTCACTGGTCCTCAGTTCTGATACACACAATACTCATCTAGCAAGGATAACAAAGATAGCATAGGGAAATAATTGTTAGCTTCTTAAATGTATCAAAATGTGGAATGTCTTAAGTAATCAAATTCAATAATGTCTCTAAGGACTCCAGATTCATTGTCAGCCCCTAAAGATTCATTCATGACTCCTTAAAGATTTCATTTTCAAGAATGCAGCTACATATTCAATGGAGAAAAGATAGCCTTCAATAAACAGTCCTGGGGAGACTGGATATTCACACATAAAAGAATGAAATTAGACCCTTAAGTGCACCACTCACAAAAGTTAACTCAAAATGGATTAAATACTTAAATAGGTAAGACCTGAAAACACAAAACTTCTAAAAGAAAACAGAGGGGAACCTCCTTGACATGGGTCTTGGCAATGATTTTTTTGGATAGAACACCCAAAGCACAAGTAATAAAATTAAAAATAAATAAGAGGGACTACATCAAACCGAAAAGCTTCCGCATTATAAAAGAAACAATCAACATATGAAAAGGCAACCTATGGAAGGAGAGAAAATATCTGCAAACCATTTATCTGATAAGGTGTTAATATCCAAAATAGATAAAGAACACAACTCAATAGCAAAAAGAAAACCAAATTAATCCAATTTAAAAATG